TTTTACCTTCCAAGACCATCGACAGAACCACCACCAGGACCGGGAGCGACAGGAAGAGCCTCATGGCGGGGCCGGAGGGGCACTCTGGAGGCAGAGGGAGGGGTGCAGGGGATCAGTGGCACCGTCCTCCCTCCCTCCTTCCCACGATCCCCTCATCTCCCTTTTTTGAGTTCTTGCAGAGTGGAGGCTGGTGTCCCTCCCAAGCACTCAGCACCAACCTGAATCCTTCCTGGAGGGCTGGTGTGGGAGGTCCCGGCCCGCAGGACCTTTATCAGGCTGGGGAGGGGGCGGGGCAGGTTGATGTTGATCTCCCTCTTCCTGAGCCTGCCTCCCTGTGTCCACCCACGTTTTTCTCCTCTGTCCCTGGCCCGTGGGCGTTGGGGTCAGGTGGGGTCCCGGGCACTTCCCTTAGCCCCAGAGCCCCTTACGGTTCAGCATTCTCACCTCCCAATCTTCCTGACTCTGGGGGGTCCTCAGACTACTACAGTCCCTTTCCCCACTCAGAGGACAGCCTCGTCCTGTCTCTGTGGACATCTGCCCTCAGGGGCCTTCCAGTAATAACCCTGTGATCTCATCCGCCCCTCATTCACACCATGTCCCTAGACCACCTCTTTCCGCCACTTCCCCTCTCTTAGCAAGCCTCCTCAGCGCCAACAACTCTTCCTTTATGTTGCTGGGGTCTCAGTTGGCCCCGCACTCCTACCCTGCGTGCCACCTCCAATTTCTTTCAGACCAGCCCTTGAAGCACCTCAGACTACCCTGATACTCTCTGGGCTCTTAACTTGATGGTTCTCAGTGTCCCTTTTTTGTGAGGGGGTCACCTTAGCTGGACGACACTGTAAAAACCTCACTTGCATCAGCCAGGTGTGGTGGCTCATGCCTGTAATTCCAGCGCTTTGGGAAGCTGAGGGAGGATCGCTTGAGCCCAGGAGTTCGAGACCAGCCTGGGCAATATAGGGAAACCTCATCTCTACAAACAAATTCAAAAATTAGCCGGGTGTGGTGGCGCATGCCTGTAGTCCCAGCTACTCAAGAGGCTGAGGTAGGAAGACTGCTTGAGCCCAGGAGTTCGAGGCTGCAGTGAGCTGTGATTGCGCCACTGCACTCCAGCCTGGTGGGACACAGTGAGACCCCATCTCAAAAAGTTAAAACCCTCAGCTGAAAAGTTCTGAGTGTATGCCCCTTCCTCCCTTCCACCAGGACTCACCCCCTTTGCCTGACTATCTCCCTACAACACTCCATCTGCTCTTATTCACCCTCCAAGGCCCCTCCTGGCACCAAGCCTGCTTCCCCCCATCACCACATCCGTCCCCCAAGGCTGGAGTCCAATTCCTTCCCCACCAGCTGCCTTTGACCGCCAGTGACCCTGGCAGCTGGTGGGGAGGGTGTCCTCGGCCCAGCCTCAGACTCTAGGTTGGCTGGCCTTGTGCCCCCACAACTACGTGTCAGCCTGGCGGTAGGGGGATGGTTGTGAAAGGGACAGCATAGACAAGACCCTGGCAGGATTGCAACATCCCTCTGGCCAGTTCAGAGCTTCCAGTCCCTGTCAGCCCCAGGGGCCCCCCTACTTCCCCAACTGAGCCCAACATTCCCCAAACATCCACCCAGATGTCTGCTTCCCTGACCCCACAAGAATGGAATAACAGTGCTCCTGTTTTCCAGCCTCATCCTCTCCTCTGCTATAGGAGTTTCTGTTTTATAGATGGGGAAACTGTCGCCCAACCAAGAACATCCAGTAGGGCTCAGCGAGGGGCAAAGATGGATGCTACTGGCTGGTTGCAGTGGTTCATGCCTGTAATCCCAGAACTTTGGGAGGCCGAGGTGGGCGGAACACTTGAGGTCAGGAGTTGGAGACCCGCCTGGCCAACATGGTGAAACTCCGTCTCTACCAAAAATTCAAAAGTTATTCAGGGATGGTGGTGTGCACCTGTGGTCCCAGCTACTCAGGAGGCTGAGGCAGGAGAGTCGCTTGAACCATGAGGTGGAGGTCCCAGTGAGCCGAGATTGTGCCACTGCACTCTAGCTTGGGTGACAGAGTGAGACTCTGTCTCAAAAACATAAAAAATAAAAGAAAGGGGCTGTCCTTCTCCTTCCCAGGCTCCAGGATGTCTCTCTGGATTGTTGCTGGATCAGCTCCTGTCCCATACGACTCCCTGCCAGCCTTTGTTCTGGAACCTCCTTCCCATCCTTGTATCACCTCTGGATCTGACTGGGGATGTAGTGAGATAGGGTGCCCTGTCTGCTTAGACGTCTTCATAGGTCGGCTGGTCGTGGTGGCTCACACCTGTAATCCGACCACTTTGGAAAGCTGAGGCAGGAGTATCTGCTTGAGCCCAGGAGTTTGAGACCAGCCTGGGCAACATAGTAAGACCCCATCTCTACAAAAAATGTTAAAATATAGCCGGGCGTGGTGGCTCACGCCTGTAATCCCAGCGCTTTGGGAGGCCGAGGCGGGTGGATCATCTGAGGTCAGGAGTTGGAGATCAACCCGACCAACATGGTGAAAGCCCGTCTCTACTAAAAATACAAAAATTAGCCTCGTGTGGTGGTGTGCGCCTGTAATTCCAGCTACTCGGGAGGCTGAGGCAGGAGAATTTCTTGAACCTGGGTGTTGGAGGTTGTGGTCAGTCGAGATGGTGCCACTGCACTCCAGCCTGGGCGACAGAGTGAGACTCCGCCTCAAAAAAGAAAAAATTAGCCAGGTATGGTGGTGGGTGCCTGCGGCCCCAGGTACTCAGGAGGTTGAGGCAGGAGGGTCACTTGAGTTGGAGGCTGCAGTGATTTATGATCGTGCTACGGCACTCCAGCATGGCCGACTGAGCAAGGCACTGTCTCAAAAAAAAAAAAAAAATTCTTATAGGTGAGAACTCAAGGTTCGACTCTTCAGGTGGCAGATGTGACTGATGCTGATCCCCTCATTGACATCTGGGGAAACTGAGGCTCTGAGAGGCTGCTGCTCCAGCCCCTGGACACATAGTGAATCAGCAGCAGGCTCAGTGGACCAGGACCCCTGCCTGTGAGCACACTGACCCTTTCCCTCCTCACTCAGCCCTGGTGAGTCATCTCCAGGGGAGGGGAACTGCCTCCTCCTGGGTGATCAGAGCAGCGCCAGGAAAAGCACCGAGTTCAGGACGTGCAGGAGCCAAGGCGGGCAGAGGGACATGCAGACATTGCAGCTGGCCCAGGAGATACAAGCTCAAGTCCTGGCCTGTCCCCCGTTGGTGGGAACCCTCCTCCCTGTCTCTGAGAACTGAGGGGGTGGGAGGGGAGGAGAGTGCCGGCGGCTCCTAGGCTTCCATCCAAGCTTCCCCTCTCTGAGCGCCAGCTCTCATCTCAGCATGGGCCTGGTGCAGAATTCGACAAAGGAGCCGCTCCCTTCTCTTCCCAGCCTGGACTCAGTACCCAGTAGGCTTGTTGGGAAACACAAGGGGTGGACATCACAACTGGAGGAAAGGATAGAGAATGAGGGATGGTCCGGGTGAGGTGGTTCATGCCTGTAACCTCAGCACTTTGGGAGGGTGAGGCAGGCAGATTACTTGAGGTCAGGAGTTCGAGACCTGCCCGGCCAACGTGGTGAAGCTTTGTCTCTACCAAAATCCCAGCTACTCTGGAGGCTGAGGCAGGAGGATCTCTTGAATCCGGGAAGTGGAGGTTGCGGTGAACCAAGATCACACCACTACATTGCAGGCTGGGCAACAGAGTGAGACTCTGTCTCAAAAAAAAAAAAAAGAGAATGAGGGTTGGGCAGGGAAGCCCAGTTCACAGCGGGTGAAGGGACAGCTAGCTCAGAGGGAACTGGAGAAGGAGAGGGCTCAAACCAAACCGAGCGTTGGAGCGAGAAACCCAGATGAAGGGAGTTGGGGGTAGAAACAAGCAGGCCAGGGAGAGAGAAACCGTAGGAGGAAGAGATAAAAGATAGAGGTGGAGGAAAACAGGAAGCCAGAGTCTCCTAAGGAGAACAGGGAGACAGAGGGGCGGGGCTGGGTGAGGGGTGGGAAGGAGGCAGATATCAGATAAGACTGGAGGAGAGGAGGGAGAACAATGACAGCAGAAAAAAAGAAAAACGGCTTCATAATAAAGGCACCAATCTCAGGTCATTTGGAGTTGCAACTCTGAGGAACAGGTATTAGGTTGGGCAGGCCGGGCACGGTGCCTCACGCCTGGAATCCTAGCACTTTGGGAGGCCAGTGGGGGAGGATCGATTGAGTCCAGGAGTTTGAGACCAGCCTGGGCAACATAGTAAGACCTTGTCTCTATAAATAATAATAATAATAAAAAGCAGGGTGTAATGGTGCTAGCCAGTAGTCTCAGCTACTCAGGAGGCCACGGTGGGAGTATCGCTTGAGCCCAGGAGTTCATCAGCCTGGGCAACAAAGCCAGACCCCATCTCCACAAACACACACACACACACCCCACAAATTAATCCTGGTGGTGTGCGCCTGTAGTCTCAGCTACTGGAGAGGCTGAGGTGGGAGGATCACTTATCACTTGAGTCCAGGAGGTGGAGGCTACAGTGAGCTGTGATGGCGGGTGACAGGGTGAGACCTTGTTCCCCCCCCCAAAAAAGAAAGAGGGGCAGAGGCCAGGCACAGTGGCTCAGGCCTGTAATCTCAGCCCTTTGGGAGGCCGGTGGGTGGGTCACTTGGTCAGGAGTTTGAGACCAGCCTGGCCAACATGGTGAAAGCTTGTCTCTACTAAAAATACAAAAATTAGCTGGATGTGGTGGCATGAGCCTGTAATCCTAGCTATTGAGGCAGGAGAATTGCTTGAACCCAAGAGGCAGAGGTTGCAGTGAGCCAAGATCACGCCACTGCACTCCAGCCTGGGTGACAGAGCCAGACTCCATCTTAAAAAAAAAACAAACAAAAAGGCAGAGAGAAAGATACAGACACGCAAACACAGACAGAGAGGAGGGGCCTGAGAACTGTGTGGCCAGTGTGCGGGCAGAAAGAGAAACTGAGGCTGAGGCTTAGAGGAAATCACACAGGGAGGCCAGCAGATGCGGTGAAACTTGGCGAATCTTTATTAAACTAGGGCCCACCCCAGGAGGACGGCTGGGGCGGGGACAGGGTCTCCCGCTGCAGGCTGAGCGGAGACAGGAGGCATGGGGTGGAGTCGGGTCGCATGGCTGTAGGCCTGGGCGTTCAGTGATTGTCGCTGGGCACAGGGGCGGTGCTGGCGCCCACGGCAGCCTGCACCTTCTCCACCAGCCCGGCCCACTGGCGCTGCATATCTTCCACCAGGGGCTCGAACCAGCTCTTGAGGCGGGCCTGGAAGGCCTCGGCCTGTAGGCTTATCTGCTGGGCCTGTTCCTCCAGCCTGGCGCGCACCTCCGCCACCTGCTCCTTCACCTCGTCCAGGCGGTCGCGGGTCCGGCTGCCCATCTCCTCCATCCGTGCGCGCAGCCGCTCACCCAAGGCCTGGGCCCGCTCCTGAAGCGGCTGGCTGGCCAGGGAGCCCACAGTGGCGACCCGCACGCGGCCCTGCTCCACCAGGGGTCCCAGGCGCTCGCGGATGGCGCTGACCCCGCGCTCGGCGCCCTCGCGGGCCCCGGCCTGATACACTGCCAGGCGCTTCTGCAGGTCATCAGCATCGCGGAGGAGCCGCTTGCGCAGCTTGCGCAGGTGGGAGGCGAGGCGCGCCCGCAGCTCCTCGGTACTCTGGCCCAGCATGGCCTGCACCTCGCTGCGGTACTGCACCAGGCGGCTGCGCACGTCCTCCATGTCGGCACCCAGCCGGGCCTGCGCCGCCTGCAGCTCCTTGGACAGCCGTGCCCGCGTCTCCTCCGCCACTGGGCTCAGCTGTTCCTCCAGTTCCGATTTGTAGGCCTTCAACTCCTTCATGGTCTCGTCCATCAGCGTCCTGCAGCCGAAAGAGCGGGAGGGTGTGCGCACAGGGGGAGGCGAGAAGGGCTGGGATAGGTGTGGGTGAGATGGGGATCAGCCAGAGAGACCCGAGAAGGAAGAGAGGAGAGTCTCCTAAGGAGAACAGGGAGAGACAGAAGGGCAGTGAACCAAGAGAGAAGGAACGGGACAGAGGCAGAGAGGAGACAAAGACAGACGCAGAGAGCAGAGGCAGAGACGAAGAAAGAGCTAGGAGGCCGGGCAAGGTGGCTCATGTCTCTATTCCCAGCACTTTGGGGGGCGAGGTGGGAGGATCGCTTGAGCCCAGAAGTTCAAGACCAGCCTGGGCAACACAGTGAGACCCCATCTCTCTGTCTCTATATAAAAGAGCTAGTGAAGGACAGAGACAGAGCCAGGACGAGTGTGAGAGGCTGAGTCAGAAGGGAAGAGGGAGAAACAGAACTGAGAGAGAGAGAATTCCAGACAGCTAAAGCCAGGAGTCAGAAATGGGAAGAGGAAGCTAGAACCAGCAGAGACCCAGGACTCCCAAGACTTAGTGGCAGGGGCAGAATGAAACCTGGACCTGGGGAGGTATAGCCGCCCACCAGAAGGGTCAAGGGCCGAGATGGGGACACTCACGTCAGTTCCTGGGTGACCTGGGGGCTGAGCAGCTCCTCCTGCACCTGCTCAGACAGTGTCTGCACCCAGCGCAGGTAATCCCAAAAGCGACCCAGTGCCAGCTCCCAGGGCTGGCTGCTCTGCCACTCAGCCTGCTGGTGAAGCTCGGGTTCTGTCTCTGGCTCCACCGGTTGCTCCACCTTGGCCTGGCATCCTGTGTGGAACAAGTTGAAGGTGGTTCAGGTTCCTTCTGACCCCGTCCAGGCACCTAGTACCTAGGGGCACACAGAAGGTGCTCCACAAATGCTGCTTTGGAGCCATGGTGGGCAGGGTGAGGGGGGAGTCTGTTTAATCACTTGAAAAGCGTTATTTATTTACAGATAGGGTCTTGCTCTGTCACCCAGGCTGGATTGCAGTGGCCTGAACATGGTTCACTGCAACCTTGACCTTCTGGGCTCAAGCGATCCTCCTGCCTCAGCCTCCTGAGTAGCTGGGACCACAGGTGTGTGGCACCAGGCCTGGCTAATTTTTGTATTTTTAGTAGAGACAGAGTCTCACTATGTTGCTGAGTCTGGTGTTGAACTCCTGGGCTCAAGTGATCCTCCCACCTTGGCCTCCCAAAATGCTGGGATTACAGGGGTGAGCCACCATGCCTAGCGGAAAAGCGTGTATTGAGTGTCCTTGTGTGCCCCAGGCAGGGCTGTGTGGGGTGATGGAGAATAAAGATCACAGCTGTCCCGTGTCTGGTATTCTAATGCAATGCATTAGAAACCTCTTAACTCCCAGCCGGGCGCGGTGGCCCACGCCTGTAATCCCAGCACTTTGGGAGGTTGAAGCAGGCAGATCACCTGAGGTCAGGAGTTCCAGACCAGCCTGGCCAACATGGTGAAACCTCGTCTCTACTAAAAATACAAAAAAAGTTAGTCGGGTGTGGTGGCATGTTCCTGTAGTCCCAGCTACTCCGGAGGCTGAGGCAGGAGAATGGCGTGAACCTGGGAGGTGGAGCTTGCAGTGAGCCGAGATCCAGCCACTGAACTCCAGCCTGGGAGCCACCGCACTCCAGCCTGGGCGACAGAGGGACTTCATCTCAAAACAAAACAAAAACAAAACAAAAACAAACAAACAAAAACTTCTAACTCCTATATTAAGGATGGGGAGGCCGGGCGCGGTGGCTCACGCCTGTAATTCCAGCACTTTGGGAGGCCAAGGCGGGCAGATCACGAGGTCAGGAGATAGAGAACATCCTGGATAATACAGTGAAACCCCTTCTCTACTCAAAGTACAAAAAATTAGCCGGGCATGGTGGCGGGCGCCTGTAGTCCCAGCTACTCGGGAGGCTGAGGCGGGAGAATAGCGTGAACCCGGGAGGCGGAGCTTGCAGTGAGCTGAGATTGCGCCACTGCACTCCAGCCTGGGCGACAGAGTGAGACTCTGGCTCAAAAAAAAAAAAGCGGGGGGAGGAAACCGAGGCTCACAGAGCGTCAAATCGCTGTTCTGAGCCAGAAAGCATAGAAGCCTCAGACCTGGGCTTTCCCCTCAAGGGGAAGACAGACCATCAGAAGAAGAGGGGGCCCAGGGTGTGCCTGAATGGGGCCAGGAGGTTGAGGTGAGGATGAGAGGGGGAGGAGCGGGGAAACCGAGCAAGCCCCGCCCCCATACCTGCCAGGAAAGTGACCAGCAACGCAGCCCACAGAACCTTCATCTTCCTGCCTGTGATTGGCCAGTCTGGGGAGGGAGAAACTGTCAATCAACCGCCAGTGAGGACTCCTCCCACCCCCAGCCCGACCCCAACCCGGCCCCACCCCAGGTTAGCCTTCCAAGCCTTGCTCCATTATCTGCAACAGCCTAATCCCAGCACAAACAGTTACCAAGCCGCCCCCAACCCATTCCCTATTTAACTCCCTCTTGGTCTTCTCTTATTTCCCCATCCCCAGGTCGGCCTCCATAGCCAAAATTCCATCTTTCTCTCCCGGGGTTCAAATTCCACACCCCCTCCCCCTCCCCACCGCCGGTTCCATCTCAGTCCCAGTCTCGCATTCCTCATTCTCCCTTCACATTCTAAGCTCTAACCTCACATTTAAGTGCCGTTTTCTATTTATGAGCTAATTCAGTCCTCATTTTAAAGTTCTCCAATCGACGGCTAGCTACCGTGTCGCTGCCCCTGGCTTCCCAGTTATGGAGATCTGAGGACACTGGGGACACCCAGTAGGTGCTCGATAAATGACAGTGACAACTCGTGGGGGTCCTGCTGTGGCTTAGCTCCTAGTCCACATGCTCTCCCCACCCCACCTTCTAGCGGGTCGGGTCGTCTCTGCTGCCCAGCCCTTCCCAGGTCCAGTCCCCTGCTGCTGGCCTCACCCCCGCTCCTCCTCTCCCCAAGCCCGACCTCGAGTAGCTCTCCTGAGACTACCTGGAGGCCAGGGCTTCCCGAGGTCCCAGCTACATCTTTCTAGAGGCCCCTGAGCTCATCCCCGTGCCCCCGACTGCGCTTCTCACCGGCTCCTGGGGAAGGACGTCCTTCACCTCCGCTGGGGCTGAGTAGGACTCAAGGATCCCAGACTTGTCCAATTATAGGGCTCCCCCTGTCCCGCCCCCTCCTCCAGGGATAGGGCGGGCTGGGCCAGCCCCCAGTCACGAGGTGGGCTGTTCTCCCCCTGCCCCAGGCACAGCAGGGCAGAGGGAGGAGGTGGGGCATAGAGGCCTTTTGACCACCCCCCACAGTCCCCAGGAAGTGAGGACACCTCGCCCAGTAATCCAGACACCCTCCTTCATTCTGGTGGCCAAGCGTGGAAGGGGAATGTGCAGGCTGCCGCCCAGAGTCCTCCTTCCCTGACCCTGTCCTTTCCTGTGCCTGGATGAATGCAATCTGGAGAGGGGGCTGGGGATCTGGACTCCTGGATCCCAGAAAGAAAGTAGGGCTAGGGGGCTGGACAGAAGTGGGATGGGAGGGGCTGGACGCGGTAGCTCACGCCTGTAATCCCAGCACTTTGGGAGGCCACGGTGGGCGGAACACTTAAGGTCAGGAGTTTGAGACCGGCCTGGCCAACATGGTGAAACCCCATCACTACTAAAAATACAAAAATTAGCCAGGCGTGGTGGCGGGCGCATGTAATCCTAGCTACTTGGGAGGCTGAGGCAGGAGAATCACTTGAACCCGGGAGGTGGAAGTTACAGTGAGCCGAAGTCTCGCCACTGCACTCCAGCCTGAGCAAGAGTGATGCTTTCTAAAAAGAAAAACAAAAAAAGAAAAAGAAAAAAGAAAAGAAAGTGGGGCTAGGCGACTGGACAGAAGTGGGATGGGAGGGGGGTGGGAACAGTGTGGTGCATCCGCTAAAAGTCTAGGCTTTGCGAGTGGGACCTGGGTTTTAATCATAGCTTCCTCTTTGGTTGTGACCTTGAGCACAGGGGACCCACCCCTCCCCACGTGTAAAATGAGATTCCAGCACCTCCCCCTGGCTGCCACAGGCATTGTGGTTTCCAGGGTCTTGAAGCTGTGCTTCTGGGTTAAGGTTAGGATTCTGGAGTCAAACTGCCAGGGCTTGAATCCTGACTCTGCCAGTTGCCAGCTGTGTGACCTTGGGCAAATGACTTGTCCTCTCTGAGCATCGGGTTCCTTCGCTCATCAGACTGGGAAAGCAGTGGCACGGATATGTTTGGTGACAAGCTAACGTGTATTGAGCACAGAGGACAGCCTTGGCACAGTGGTCCTGTTAGGGCTAGCAAGGGACAGGCCACAGTGAGCGCTCAGATGCTGTCACTTTCCTAACAGCCCTGTTATAAATCCCAGATGTTTCAGAGGAGAAACCTGCGGTTCAGCAGCGAGATGAATGGCAAAGTCACACATCGAGAACTGGAGTGGGTGGGATCAGAGGATTCGGCGAGTCAGGGGAGGCTGGACTCCTGGTCCCGGGAAGGAACCCCCAGTGCCTGGCCGGGCCTGTTTGCTTTGGCTGGCAGGGGGTGGCTGAGGTGGCTTCTGTGGGTAACTTGGGGTCAGCTCTACTCAGCAGCCTCCCTCCCTAGACCCTGGGGGCAGACAGGGTTTCAGTTCCCGGAGGCTCAGGAGTGGTGCTGGTGGTGTTGGGTGTCAGCTGACACCAGCCCTAGGTTGGCAAAATCCAGACAGCACCACATCCTCAGACATAGGTGACCCAACCCCCATGGCTGCATAAGGAGCCTAGTCTGGCCTAGGCCCCTCCTCTCACGCCTGCAAGTCCTTGAGCCCCTTCTTCCCGACACAGCAGTTCCTAGTACCCTAGTTGTTCTGAAGCTGTTCCAGTAGCTTGAACCTTCTCCCAGCTCCCTGCCCCCCATGTCTGCACTCAGAGTGTCATCTCTGCTGCTGCAGTTTGCAGGGACAAAGTCTTCTATTGCCACTCCGGCCAGGTCAAGCTGGGGCGAGTGACCTTGAGACCCTACCCTCGGACGACAGAAGGCCCGAGGTGTCCCCCAGCAGGGCAGATGTTCCGGATGGGGAGACTGCGATCCCGCGCAACGCTGCGCCCCTCTGAGCCGGACTCAATGCGGCGTCAAGCCAGGCAGTGGTGCGGCTCCGCTGCTTTCCGTGCTCCGGCCCTCTGGCGCCCCCTGCAGGCGGCTGGGGGAAGGTCAGGGCGGCCGGACCCCGGATGAAATGCTCCAAACAGGCCAGGCACACTTGAGAAAACGGAGGCCTCCCATCTTTTTTTTTTTCCCACGTATATTTTTTGTTGTTTTTTGTTTTTTTCTGTAAAATGTCCCGGTTCTTCCATAACTTATAAACATGATTTATACCGAGGAGTAGATGGGAAAGTGGACAGGGCAGGGTGGACTGACAGGGGATGGGGAAGCTCCTCTCGCTGCCCCCTCGGGGCGGGCCCAGGCCCTTTGGAGGATGGGGACGCCAGGACACTCCTCCCTGAGGTTGTCTGGCCGCCTCTGCCCCTGGTGCTCAGAATCCTGCGTGCCCCTCAATTCCGGAATCCTTCCCGGGACCCCAGGCCCACTGGGCACGCTGCCCCTAGTACTCAGAATCCCGAAGCGCCATTCGGTTCCAGAATCCCCCCCTCAGCTGCTGGGGTGGCGGGGTCCCTCCTTTCCGATGTCCCCCCCGACCCCCAAGGGGGGAGGGAAGGGAGGGGGGCTCAGGTCTCCCCTCTGTGGCAGGGGGAGGTGGAGGTGGAGGTGGAATTGGAAGGGCGTGGAAGGCGGGGGCCAGGAGGGCTCAGCCGATGGTGAGGCCAAAGCCACACTGAAACTTGTTCTTGCGGTGATTCAGGAAGGCCCCGAGGGCCAGTGTCAGGGGCAGGGGTGGGAGCTTCTTCTCCAGCGTGGCACCCACGATCCAGTTGCTGTCCACAGAGCCTGCAGGGAAGAGCTGAGGTGAGAGGCATGCCAGCTTCCCACCATATCCATGCAGAGTTCCTGGCCACCCTAGATACCAGTCACATGCTGACAGCTTCCAGACCTCCAACCAGACGGCTCCTGCCACCCAGAAACCCCATCACACCCCCAACAACTTCACGCTGCAGCAAATGGCTCACTCCTCCTCTGCTCTCCGCTCAGTGACCCCTGCCCTCTGAAAAGCCCTCCAGACCCCTGGGTTCCCCCAACCTAGTCCTGCCCACTCTGGGGATGGATCTGTTCCTCCCACTGAGTTCCGTGAAGACAGGGCTGGTCACCGCTGTGTACCCAGCAGTGCTCAGCAGGAGGCTAAAACACCCAAAAGTCTGTGAGCCACAGATATCCAAGAAGACTTAAGACTGGACATTGGGACTATGGCCAGTGAGCCTGAGATGAGGTTCTGGATTTGGCTGTGACCTTGAAACCTCTGGAAGCCTCCATTTCCACTAATGTAAGATGAATGGGGCAAGGCTGGATGCTTCCAAAGTGCCTTCTACCCTGGCTGGGTGTGGTGACTCACACCTATAATCCCAGCACTTTGGGAGGACAAGGCTTGAGTCCAGGAGTTCGAGACCAGCCTGGGCAACATGGTGAAACCCCGTCTCTCCCCAAAAATTCAAAAAAATTAGCCGGGCCTGGTGGCATGCACCTGTGTTCCTAGCTACTCAGGAGACTGAGGTGGGAAGACTGCTTGAGCCAGGGAGGTGGCGGCTGCAGTGAGCTGCAATTGCACTGCTACACTCTAGCTTGGGTGACAGAGGGAGATCAGTCTCAGAAAAATAAGAGGGTCAAGTGCAGAAAAATAAGAGGGGATGGGCAAAGCTCCAGCTCGGTCCAAGCACTCATCAGATGCTCCACCAAAATTTTTTTAAACATTTATTTATTTCATTTTATTATTATTATTTTATTATTATTATTTTATCTTTTTATTTTTTCATTTCATTTTATTGTTTTTGGGTCTCGCTCTGTCGCCCAGGCTGGAGTGCAGTGGTGCAATCTTGTCTCTCTGCAACCTCCGCCTCCCAGATTCAAGTGATTCTTGTGCCTCAGCCTCCCGAATAGCTGGGACTACAGCTGCAGCACACTACCTAATCTTTGTACTTTTAGTAGAGAGGGGGGTTTCACTATGTTGGCCAGGCTGGTCTCCAACTCCTGGCCTCAAGTATTCTACCTGGCTTGACCTCCCAAAATGCTGGGATTACAGGCGTGAGCCACCATGTCTGGCCACTCCAGCCACTTTTTTTCCCAAGCATAAAACATAGTAGAGGGTCGTCCACCTACTTTTTTTTTTTTTTTTTTTTTTGAGACGGAGTCTTGCTCTGTTGCCCAGAGTGCGGTAGCGCCATCTCGGCTCACTGCAAGTTCTGCCTCCTGGGTTCATGCCATTCTCCCACCTCAGCCTCCTGAGTAGTTGGGACTACAAGCACCCGCCACCATGCCCGGCTAATTTTTTTTTTTGAGACAGAGTCTGGCTCTGTCGCCCAGGCTGGAGTGCAGTGGCGCGATCTCAGCTCACTGCAACCTCTGCCTCCTGGGTTCTTGCTATTCTCCTGGCCTCAGCCTCTGCGTCTGGGACCATAGACGCCTGCCACCACGCCCGGCTAATTTTTTTTTGTATTTTTAGTAGAGACGGGGTTTCACTGTGTTAGCCAGGGTGGTCTCAATCTCCTGACCTTGTGATCCGCCTGCCTCGGCCTCCAAAAGTGCTGGGATTACAGGTGTGAGCCTCCACACCCGGCCCCACCTACTTTTTAACAAGTGTTCCCTGGTAATGTGGAGGCCCACAGGGTCGCAGCACACCATCCTCCAGCACCTGTGGTGGCCCACACACCCAGAGTTGAGTCACCTCTCGCCTGTTTCCCACATAGGGAAACCGAGACCTTTACCTTTGAAGAGGAGGTTGGCCTTGGGCAGGTCCAGCTGGTACCCGAAGGAGACACTGGTGTCCTGCATCCTTGTGCTGGCCTCAAACTCCACACCTACCTGCAGCTGGAGGGGCCGGAGCAACACACGAGAGTTAGCGAGTGGCCCCGCCTGGACTTCCAGGCCCGGCAGCCCCTGGCAGCACCAGCTAGTCCCTGCACCCACTCACCTGGTCACTGGCTTTGTGGTAGTATGTTGCGTGCATGCCTGCCTGGCCCAACGTTACCGTTGCCAACCAGTTGTTCACTGTCAAGAGAGTGGGGTGGAGGTGAGGGCTCATTACCAAGGGGATTTGGGCATCTGGGAACCCAGGCCTCCTCCCTCAGACC